CAGGGCAACAATTTTTGAACCAAAGTATTTCAAATGGATTAACTTAAAGAATGCAACCAAAATCTGGGATCCATGACTCTTATGGAATTGAATTTTTTTATAAACATTTTACGATAAAAATTATTGTAAAACATTTTATGATATAATACAAGATACCATAAAGCATTCCCTGTGGTCAACTCCTGATGTTGGATTGTGCTATACAGTTCAACAAGGGTTGTTTTTCCAGGCAGATATACATCTGAATATTTCCCATGATTTTTAAGAACTTTTCCAGTGAAGGAAGTACATTAGATCAGGGCTTTTCAACCAGTGGTACGGGTACCACCTGTGGTACATTGGCACCTGGCAGATGGTACGCGATCATCCTAGAAAAGTGGTAGCGGGGGAGGGGAATGAGCTGAACCGGTGGCAGCACCGCATAAGCCTGGGCAAGAGATGGCTGGAGCTGCAGGGCTGTCAGGGCTCAGCAGAAGTGCCAGGATCAGTGCTGCTTTCCAGCTGATTGGCGCTTCTTTGGGACTGTCAGGGCTCAATGGAAGCACCAGGATCAGTGTCAGGCTCCAGCTGGAGCTCGGCGCTGATCCTGGTGCTTCTGCTGAGCCCTAAAGAAGCACCAATCAGCTGGAAAGCAGCACTGATCCTGGCGCTTCTGCTGAGTCCAGAAGAAGCGCCGATCAGCTGGAATGTTGCAGCATCTCCAAGGTCTTGTGATTTACATTCAGATGCTTGGCAACTGATTCATATTTATTTTTTTTTATTGTAAATATTTATTAAGTTTTTTAAATTTTTACAGAAACAAAACAACCCATCCCCAAACCTCCCCAACCCTCCCATTCCCTCCCCCGAGCTTCCCAGAGCTGAACATAGGCTTAATTAAAATTTCTTCGAATAATCTAAAAAAAAGTATAAACCATAATTAAATCTAAATACTAAAAACATTAATTAAACAAATTATAAGATGATTAACAATAATATATATATAAAGAAATATAACTATCAAAAGAATAATACTTAAAAGAAAAAAGAATAAAAAAAAGAAAAAAAGAAAAAAAAAGAAAATCTAAAAAATATTTAAAATTTTAAATATAAGTTATTGAAAAGCTAAATAATATTTTTTAACATCCAACTTATATTGTATGAAATCTATCCATTTTTTCCATACCGCAAAATACTTCTGCGATTGATCCTTCAAGAAAGCCGAAATCTTTGCCATTTCCGCCAAATAAGAAACTTTAAAAAGCCACTCTTGCAAAGTAGGCAGAGATTCCTTCTTCCAACATTGCCCTACTAACAGCCTTGCGGCTGTAATTAAATTTAACATCAATGTTGTGTCTTTAATATCACAGTCAGTAACAATACCTAATAAAACAATTGTGGGGTAAATTTTACCCTCCTTCTAAAAATTCTTTGAATATTCCACCATATCTTAATCCAAAAGGCTTTTATATTTTTACACGACCACCAAATATGATAGTAAGTAGCATCCAAACAACCACATCTCCAGCATTTAGGCTGTAAGTCAGGATACATACGAGACATTTTTTGTGGATCAAGGTGCCATCTGTAAAACATTTTATAAAAATTCTCCCTTAAATTCTGGGCTTGTGTAAATTTAACATTCCTCACCCAAATAATTTCCCAGGTATCTAGTAGAATTGGTTCACCAAAATTTTGTGCCCATTTGATCATACATTCTTTAATTAATTCTGCCTCTGAATCCAGTTCTACTAGCACCCCATAAATTCTCTTAATATGAGTTCGTCTTTGATCTTTTACTTGTTTAAGAAAATTTTCATCTTCTCTAAGTAAACCCACATTACAGTCTAACTTCCATCTATCCACTATTTGTCTATACTGAAACCATGAATATATGATATTTTCTTGTGCTAGGTTTTCCAAAGATTTTAACTGCCAATTTTTACCATCCCATCTAAGTAATTGTGCATAAGAAACACCATCCATATTAACTCCTCTCCTTATCCCCTCTATCGCATGCCAGGGTACAGCCCATAATGGAATTTTAAAATCACTTCTGTAATATTTCCTCCAAACCCGAAATAGAGAAATCCTTATAATATGAGATTTAAAAACCCTATCAACTTTTTTATTAAAAATTAAATAGGCATGCCATCCAAAAAGTAAATTCCAACCCTCCAAAAGGAGTATTTCTACATTTGTTAAATTAACCCAATCACTAATTAATGTTAAAACCATCGCATCGTAGTACAATTTCAAATTCGGTACCTTAAGTCCAAACTGATTCATATTTATGACAGTCACAGTGTCCCAGGGTCATGTGAAGTGACCAAAACCTGCTGCAACCACCCAGCAGATGGGGGAGAATAAAAACCAAACACCCCCCACCTGCTGCCAATCCTCAACAGAAATGCTCACAACAATGAAAACCTCAGACAGGAGGAACTGAACGCCGCTGGGCAGGCAGGTAGGTGTCTTGCTCGGCTGTGCCTTGGGGGGGCACTTTTTTCAGTGCCATTGTAACTTCGAACAGTCATTAAGTGAACTGTTGTAAGTTGAGGACTACCTGTACTTTATCACTTTTTCCCTTTTTTTTTTGGTCAAGTTTTTGACACCTTGCTAGGCGACTGGTGGTACTCGAATATTGCCATATCCTAAAAGTGGTACAATGGGTGAAAAGGTTGAAAAGCCCTGCATTAGATGCTCTGTCACTGCTGAAGACATGAAGGAAACTAGTAAAGAAATACCCTCCAGAATGATGAACCAACTAGTTACAGATTGTCTTGTTTATTCTATAATTCTCTGTCTTGGGGAGATGCCAAAGGATGGAATTAAGAGAGAGAAGGTGTTAAATGTTTCTTGGTCCCAGAAAGTCAGTCTGGATGTTCTACTGAACTCCAGTGGGTCTCTGGGAGAACTGCTGTGAGACTTCTCCCTCCCATCTGGACACTGGGTTCTGCCTGTCCGTGGCAAATTTTGCTATGACTGTCAGAGACTAAATCAGTTAAACCTATTTCTTCTTATTTTTGTGATTTTGAAAAGAGAATATCAATCTTGTGGACTGCCATGTCTTCTATGAGATTAATGTCCCCACTGATACCCACTGAAACGGATAAGGATAAATTTCAGGGATCTTTATGACAGCCCTCTTTTCCCATGATGCACCATTGATGGGTTTCATTGTGGCATTTCTCTTCTACTGGTTTTAGAAATCTCCTCTCTCTCTCTCTCTCTCTCTCTCTCTCTCACACACACACACACACACACACACACACACACACACACACACACACACACGCTGTTTTCAACTCCCAAATCAGCTGGAGGTGCCTATTTCTGGGGGCCTTATAAACAGGCGGAGGATCTGCAGAGAGACTCCCAAGTAGCTCCACCATCAAATCCCCAGGAGCAGCAGAGCTTCAGAGGCCCTGACAGAAAGAAATATTGATCATGCTGGCCAGGAGCTATCAAACTGATTTGTTGGTGGCCTGATCTTAGCAGCTTCCTTTTTGTTTCTGACGAAGCTGTTCATGCCAGACTTGAGTTCTTGTCAAATGCGAGGAAGGGGGGGGGGGATTATGTTTCTTTTTTACACTAGAGGGGTAGACAACCTTGGCTCGTTTGTGACTCGTGGACTTCAACTCCCAGAATTCCTGAGCCAGCCATGCTGAGGGGAAAGGGAGAAGTTTTCAAGATGAGCCATGCTGGCTCAGGAATTCTGGGAGTTGAAGTCCATGAGTCATAAAAGAGCCAAGGTTGCCTGCCCATGCTGATTAGAACAAACTAGCCTGAGCAAGGAGCTTTCGGTCAATGGCCCTCCGAATGAATTACCAACCATCTCTCCTCCTTTCCCTGGGCAGGACAGGAGGCCAGTCTTATGGTCAGGCTTCACTAGGGTGTTGGGGTGTGTAAAGGTATTTGAGTAATTGTCAGTTGTGTGGGAAAATGAGTAGTGATGCCTCAGTTGCAATGATGTAAAACAGTGTTTCTCAACCTTGGTAACTTTAAGATGTACAACTGACTGGTGGTGCTTTTGACAATGCCAATTAGCTACTACTACTACTACTACTACTACTACTACTACTACTACTACTACTACTACTACTATTATTATTATTATTATTGATCATCTCACAGTCAGCCAAATGTTCAGACTGGATTTGGCATTTTTATCTACCTATCGAGTCCTTACCAAAGACCTGGGATAGGCAGATGTGGATGTTTGATGGTATTACAGGTATCATCGCAGGATGGAAGCAGTTCCTAGTAAGGCCGCCTTTTGCAATTGACTAATAGCGAATTTGTCAATGCCAATGGTATTCAAGTGGTGCTCCAGTTGTTTTGGGATTATACCCAAGGCGCCTATTACTATTGGTACTACTACCCTTGCTTGCCTTTGCCACAGTCTTTCTGTTTCTATTTGCAGGTCTTTGTATTTTGTTATCTTCTCCAGTTCTTTCTTATCTATTCATTATTATTATTATTATTGTTGTTGTTGTTATTGTTGCTGTTGTTATTGTTATTATTAAATTTAAAGGCAAACTTTGAAACATGGGAGTGATGCTTGAGGTAACTCTGTGACCTTCAGATGAGGCACACTGCAACTCTTCAGACTTCGTACTAGTTGGTTATGCCGGCGGAGAGCGATATCTGTTATGGTCCAGGACCTTGAAAGCCAACGGGTTGAGGGAGACTAGACTGGGATGAAGGGGAAATGAATATTGTGCAATACCCATCCCCACCACCCCACGACAAGGTGAATTAAATACATGTCACATTTGCTTGGAAAATGCATTGAATATGCACAATGGAATCCTATAAAAAATCTCTTTCAATACAAGAGAATATTTATAGCTCAGAGTTGAATTGTGGAAAGCCGCAGTTGTTTTCTGTTCTCGCTCTCTGAGTTTGGTTGTCTGCTTGTAGACATTTTATTACCTCACTAGGTAACATCCTCAGTGCTGGAGGGAGAAGCACTGCCTGCTTAACCATCCACCTTCCTTCCTCTTTTCTTTGTCCAGCTCTCTGCCTGGTGCTGGGCTGCATGATATTCCCAGATGGCTGGGACTCAGAAACCATCAGGGACATGTGCGGGGAGAAGACGGGGAAGTATTCGCTGGGCGACTGCTCTGTGCGCTGGGCTTATATCTTAGCCATCATTGGCATCTTGAATGCCCTTATCCTCTCCTTCCTGGCCTTCGTCCTCGGCAACCGGCAGAACGACCTGCTTCTAGAGGAGCTCAAAACAGAGAACAAAGGTGAGTGCTCTCTCTGCTTTGCATACACAAACACATTGGGACAAAGCTCCCCCCCCTTTTTGTCCATTCTGCATGTAGCTGAGGCTGTGAAGCAGCAATCATTATCTCGAATATCGGAGTAACTATAGTAGGCTGCCTTCACGTTTAGCGCAGAAAAGCATGTCTTGATGTGGAAAGTTGCCTGAAATTACAGTATTTAACAGTGCTAGGCTACGATGTTAGAATCCTGTACATTCAGATTTTACTTTGGGAAAAGCGTTAAGGCTTCAGCAGGCATGAATAGAGGATGACATTGATTCAGGATCCCAGAGCACTTCCCACTGGTTCCTTCATTCTTGAAGTTTGGATGGATTTGTTTTTTCCCCAGCCAATCTTCAGTTTGCAAAAAAAAAGGGGGGTGGGTGGGTGGAAACTAACTATTGGGAGGTTATAGCATTTTCCTTTATTATTGCATTTATGACCCAACTTTCTGTTTGTTCCAAGGTTCTAAGCGGCTTACGACAACAACAAATATGAAGTTTAAAACAAAACCGAATGAATATAATTGAAATACACAGTCAAGTAAAATCAGCAAGAACAGAGTGAGCTTGTTGTTATGGTTGTTGTTGTCAGGGTGTGGATGTTTTTACAGTAGCCAGGAAACCATAACGCTATTGCAGAGTAGTAGTTTGGCTTGCTAAGGTAACAGCTCTGTTAGAGGACACACCTGTGGGCTTCCCAAGGTGTGCCCCAGGAGGGTAAGCTGCCTTCACAGCAGGGAGAAAGATGAGCAGCTCTTCTTGCAGGGTCACCCAAGACCCTCTTCTCTCCCAGGATATGTCTCGCGAGTGGGCGCTGCCGCCAGGAAGGTTCAGAGCGGTCAGGAATCTGACTACCTGCACAGAGCACCAATTTCTCTCCCCACCAAAGTGGTATCTCTCTCTCTCTCTCTCTCTCTCTCTCTGTGTGTGTGTGTGTATGTATGTGTGTATATATATATATATATATATATATATATAATATATATAATATATATATATATATATACAGTATATACATACATATATATGTAGTTCTTTGGTTATTTGGGTTTTCTCCCGCATAAAATTGGAAGTGTCTTGGTGACGTTTCGATGAAGTCCCATTCATCATCTTCAGGCTGGTGTTTTTGGCTTCGTGCTTCTAGGAGCCTGAAGATGACGAATGGGACTTCGTCGAAACGTCACCAAGACACTTCCAATTTTACACGAGAGAAAACCCAAATAACCAAAGACCTACATATATATGTATGTATATACTGTATGTACACACAAACACACACACACACACACACACAGAGAGAGAGAGAGAGAGAGAGAGAGAGAGATGGATAGATAGATAGATAGATATAGATAGAGAATAACCAAAGACCTACATACAAACATCCGCAAAAACCTCAGAAAACGTACACACACACACACACACACACACATTAAACAGTTAAAAAGCATGAGCACCAGGAAATTTTACAAAACTACAAAAGTTTTAATTCAATAAAACACCAAGCTTTCATTGGCAACTGCCAACATCGTCAGGGTACATTCTAGTCAATGGGGAAGCTCTTTTATAGGTGAGACGCCATTTGCGCCCGACTCCTAGATCGCGTCACAGGTCCCAGCCAGCCAATCTGCACTTTAGTCGGGTTTGTATGTCCCCATTGACTAGAATGTACCCTGACGATGTTGGCAGTTGCCAACGAAAGCTTGGTGTTTTATTGAATTAAAACTTTTGTAGTTTTGTAAAATTTCCTGGTGCTCATGCTTTTTAACTGTTTAATATGAATACACCCAGGAATCATTTGTTTGTTTTTAATACTATTAATATATATATATATATATATATATATATATATATATATATATATATATATATATTAATAGTATTAGTAGTATATATATATGTGTGTGTGTGTGTAATCTGCATAGAACATGCTTTTAAACTGTTAGGTGGACAGAAGCTGAGGTGAGTAACAGCAGCTCACCCTGTTACGCTACGCATGTTTGGGCTGGAACTGCTGGAGCTGAAACCATCTCCAGCATCATTAAGTCGCTAAGCCCTCACGCCTCTTAGTGAGCCATTACTTTCATAGCCAAGCTGACCTCCTAAATACTGGGAGCCAAACAACTCTTCTATGGCTTGGAAGCCAGATAAGAGGAGGCCCTTCTGCCTGCATTAGCATCTTCAGAAGAGTCTCCCTTGCTGTACTGAATCACTGGGCATCTTCATACGAGCAGAGGCTCTTCGGCAGATAGTCAGGTTCTCGGCCATTTAGGGCTTTAATCCAAGATTTTAAGTATCACAACCCTATCCAGTTTATTGCACAAACTTTCTCCACACACCCCTTCCAAATGAATTATTTTGACAACCAAGTTGTACGTATTGGTAAACTCGGCAACTTCTGCCCCACCATCCCTGCGATCACAAAAAACAAGGATTCTCCCATAAGATAAAAGATAAAATCACATCCCCTGTGCATCTTTTCTTTTCTTTTTTAGTACAGTAAAGTAGTAAAATAGACGGAGCTGACAGGGATGGTTAAATTGACTTCTTTGATTGGAAAAAGAGCAATACTGTATCTACATTTATTGGATGGAAACCCTTTTTCATGAAAAAGGAAAAATGTGCACTTGGTTTTAATCATTAGAAAAATAATGGGAAATAGAAACTTCTTTTCTTTTTTTCTTTTCTTTTCTTATGCTCAAAGTTGTGTCTCGCTTGGAGGAGCAGATAAAAATGTTAGATAATGAATAGACAAGGCCAGATTCAAATGCTCATTAAGCATTTGAAGCTGCCTAGGTGACATTAGGTGAGTCCTATATTTTTTTTCTGCCTCAAAGGAACCGTAGACACTGCCTGCCTTTGCTTGTGCTTCTCCTGATCCTGCCAAGCCTTAGATGAAAGCCAGAGAACCAAAGGTGCCTAATTGGAAATTTAATTAATCAGAATAAATCTCCTGGACTCTTGGTTTGCTCCATCTGTTTGTATGAAGGAAAGGCAGACTTGCCAGCAAGAACCAAATGCTGAAACAGTAAGAAATAATGATGGGAAGAAATAAAAAAAAAACAAGCAAATTCCCTTTCCATTCATATGTGGAAAGATAGCCAGAGATTCTCTATGCAGTCCATCTGAGGCATTACAGGTCAAAAGTCTGTCTATACCAGGCGTAGGCAACCTTGGCTCTTTTATGACTCGTGGACTTCAACTCCCAGAATTCCTGAGCCAGCCATGTTGAGGGGAAAGGGAGAGGTTTCCAAGCTGAGCCAGGAATTTTGGGAGTTGAAGTCCACAAGTCATTAAAAGAGCCAAGGTTGCCTACCCCTGGTCTATACCAGTATTCATTGTTATGCAATTACTAACTGGATGTACTAACCATACATTCTATTTTGTAAGCTTATAATCGTCACGTGATTGGGACAACAAGCCAATTCCTACTTGACACTTCCTAACAGCTGTCATTTAAGGACAGCTTCTTTTTTTTTTTTTTTTTTTTTTATTGAAATTTTTCAAGAGTTTTACAAATAAAAATCCACCCCCCCCTCCCCAACCACCCCACCCCCCCCCCGACTTCCCAGAACTGAATATAGGATTATTTAACAAATATTTTAAAAATAACATTTGCAATTTATAAAATAATTAATAATAATAATAAAAATCACAGTAATAATATATATAGAAATAATATACATAACATAAACTTTAAAATGAATAATATATACTAAAAAAGAAAAAAAATAAAAAATAAAAAGAGAAGAGAGAGAGAGAAAGAAGAAAGAAGAAAGTAGACGAAAAATAAAGCATATATATATATAAAAAAAAAAAAAATATATGAATAATAATACATTAAAAATGTATATATATAAAAAAGAAAAAGAAGAAAGAAAGAAAGAAAAAACAATCATTACAAATTATAAAAAGGCTAAATAATATTTTTCCATATCCAAATTATGTTGTATAAAATTTATCCATTTTTCCCATACCGCAAAAAATTTTTCTTGAGATTGCTCCTTTAAGAAAGCCGAAATCTTTGCCATTTCTGCCAAATACGAAACTTTATGAAACCATTCTTGTAAAGTAGGCAAAGATTCCTTCTTCCAATATTGTCCTATTAACAACCTAGCGGCTGTAATCAAATTTAACATCAATATAACCTCCTTAGCATCACAGTCAATAACAATACCTAGTAAAAATAATTGCGGAGTAAATTTTACCCTTCTTTTAAAAATTCTTTGAATATTCCACCATATCTTAATCCAAAAAGCTTTTATATGCTTACACGTCCACCAAATATGGTAATAGGTAGCATCCAAATATCCACATCTCCAGCATTTCGGCTGTAGATTAGGGTACATAATGGACATTTTCTTTGGGTCAAGGTGCCATCTATAAAACATCTTATAAAAATTCTCTCTTAAATTTTGCGCTTGTGTGAATTTAACATTTCTTATCCAAATAAGTTCCCAAGTATCCATTGAAATCGTTTCACCAATATTCTGTGCCCATTTAATCATACAATCTTTAACTAGTTCAAGTTCTGAATCTAATTCCACTAAAACCCCATAAACTCTCTTAATATGGGTTGGCCTTTGATCTCTTACTTGTTTTAAAAAAATTCCATCTTCTCTAAGCCAGCCCATTTTACAATCCATCTTCCATCTATCCACTATTTGTCTATATTGGAACCATGAATAAGTTAAGTTTTCATGTGTTAATTCTTCCAAAGATTTTAACTGCCAGTCTTGGCCATCCCATCTTAATAACTGTACGTAAGAGACCTTGTCCATATTTACCCCTTTCCTTATACCTTCTATGGCATGCCGAGGTATAGCCCATAATGGTATTTTGAAGTCACTTTTATAATACTTTCTCCACACTCTTAGCAAAGAGTTTCTTATAATATGAGACTTAAAAACCCAATCCACTTTTTTATTAAATATTAAATAGGCATGCCATCCAAAAAATAGGTCCCAGCCTTCCAAATGAAGT